ATATTCCATTGAGCATTTGGGAAAGTGTGTCCAAGAATCTGATGATGACTGACTCAAGAGAAGAAAGCAGAGTGGATAAGAAAAAGAATGGGAGGAAGGTTTACTTTGACATCTTGTACATTATTGTTGTTCTGTTTGAATTTTGGTAGGGGTATGTACATTTCTTACCTTAAATGAATGCTGTGTGTTTAAATTTTAAAAGCAAGGTGATCCTGGAATATCTTAGGGCTTAAACATAGTATCTAGCCCCCAACAGGTCCTCCATTGAAGGTACAGGGCAGGGATGGGGAGAGGAAGGTCACACATTTGAATCTTGAAGGAGAACTGAATGGTACCTGTATGGAAAGAGGCTGACTTACTTTATGGTTTTCTGGCCATAGGTGGCATTCTGTGGCTTGCAGATAAATCACCCTGTCTCTGCATCTATCTCCACATGATGTTCTTTCTGTATGCATCCCCACATTTAAATCTCATCTTTTTATAAGGAACCAGTCATATTGAATCAGGGTGCACCCTAGTGACTTCATTTTCACTTGGTTACTTCTGTAAATATCCTATTTCCAAGTAAAATCTATTCTGCCAGTTCTGTTCACTTAAGTGAAATACACAGCATCTGGCTGAGTTGCGGTCCATTCATTCTGGCAGTAACTGCATTTGTGTGGCTTTAGATTATTCTAAAACTTGGCTGCACATTGAAGTTACCTGGGAAACCTTAAAAAAAATACAGGTGCATCATTCTCATTCCCCAGATTCAGAATGTAGCTGGGTCATCAAGAGTTTTTAAAGAATTTCTCCAAAGGATTCTCCTGTGCAGCAAGACTGAGTAGCAAGCCATATTCAACCAGGGAGGAGGTAGGAGTGGCCAACATGAGTGTGTGCTGCCTTGGGCAAGGAGTGGGGAATGAGAAGGTCAGTGATGACAGCCCTTTCAATTTTTGATTACTGATAGGTGAACAGATAATTAACTTCTTTTGTCTCAGTGTGTGTTGAGTTCAAGCACAGGATGACTAAGGTAGGCTAAATGACTATCTGTGAACTTAGTTGTTCCAGATGCCTTCTTTAATTTCACTTTCCTTGAGATTTCCTGTTCCTTACTGGACAGCATGTTCTTTTGGCCTTGAGAAGCAGAATCTCTTCAGGTATCACCTACCTCTGCTCCACCTTGCTATTCCTTGTCAGTCTGCATGGTCAGAGCACACCCTTGAGGTACTACAGACATCTGCAAGTATAAACCTCTCTCTGCTATTCTTTTCCTTGCTGCTTCAATGGTTCTGGCTGTTCTCTAAAACTATTTCTTTCACATGCACATCTGGTAATGTTTTTTTTTCCTCATTTGCTTAAAAAATTTTAGCTTAATCTTACTCCCCTCTACTAGTCTCATCCAAATTGCAATACTTTGTGTTTTTTATTTTTTACTTTGTCTCTATGGTCATCATTAATTTGAACCTACCATAATGATGTTGGTGCCCCAAAGATCACTTGAAAATACTTGAATGTGAAGTTTAAATGGAAAGCACTACCAATTAGACATTGATCTTACTAAATAATCTGACTAAGTTTCCCACCCCTGACATGGAGCTAGTATTTCCATAATTGTCCAAGTGCTCTTCATTGTTTTGTTGTTGTTGTTGCTGTTTGTGTTTTTGTTTTGATCCCAGGGATTAACCCAGGGATCCTTGCTTAACCACTGAACCACATCCCCAGCCCATTTTATTTTGAGATAGAGTTTCTATAAATTGCTTAGGGCCTTGATGAATTGCTGAGACTGGCTTTGAACTTGTGGTCCTCCTGCCTCATCCTCCAGAGCTGCTGGGATTACAGGTGTACAGCACTGTGCTCATTATGTACCTTCTTTTATTCTGGTCAAGATTAGATGAATAAAGATAGTGAAAAGAACTTGTGAATATAAAATACTCTATATCATTTCTATTGTATTTAGCAATACAGTTGTGAGAATAGCAATTCTAGCATTCATCATCATTGTTTTATTTAGCTCCCAGCAATTTACATGGCTGGGAACAATTGAAATAAGAATATGTGGCTATAGCTCATCTTGAACCTTGTAATCTGCCAATAAATCATTTTAAAGCTCAATACAAAAAAAAAAATGAGTGCTCCAGTGACATCCAGTAAATATTCAATGAACACTATTTGAAATAGAATCTCACTATCCCAAAGGAAGCTTCTCTGAAGTTTAATATATTTAGTCTGGGATTAGAAATTGTTGTTTTGACCAAAATAATCCAAAACCATACAGGGAAGAGGATTCTGGGACTGTAATTCTCACCTAACCAAGTCAACATTGCACAACCTAGTATAGGCAGGTGCTGCTGATAGCTCTTTTTCCTGGTGAGGAACTGGGTTACAAACCAGTCGACCAAGTTACTAGAAGTCACACAGCTAACTAGTGGCAGACAGGTTTGAACTCAGGTAGTCTCACTCTAGATTGCAAGCTTTGACCCCTTTTCTTTGCTGCCTCTGTGATAAAATAGAATTCTGTCAAAAATCTCAACACATTATCCCTTCTTTTAAGTCTCCTTATTTCTGGTTAATCAAAGAAATTCATCACCAGGCAGTTATGTGCTTTGTGTTAATTCTCTTCTATTTTTGTCAATACCTATTAATTTTTTTTGGTTTATCATACAAATAACCTGTGTTTTGTCCTTTCAGAACTCACTCCTCCCCCAAATCGATTCTTGATTATCAACATTTCGTTTTGATTGCATTTTATTCTGTATCAAAACATGGTACCATATATTAATGCTCATTCAAATTGAAGTTCTTTGTGTATATTACATTATTAAAATGTGCATGCTCTCTATTCCCAAGTCTACTGCTATGTCTTTTAATCAGAAACATTATGGGCTTTTTCTTTATATCTCCACTAAATTGTGATAGCTTCTCAGAAGTCTTTTTAAAAAATATTTGTATATGGACACAATATCTTTATTTTATTTATTTATTTTTATGTGAGTTCAGTTGTCCCAGCCTTGGTCACAGTAATGAGAAAGTGCATAGGAATGATCAGCAAAGACAAATTGCAGCTGACAGCAAATGATGAGGAGGTCCAGTTGAGACAGAAATATCGTCCCAGATGAGTCTAACTTAAATTGTTTATCCACAGAATAATGAGTTAAATACGTGATTCTTGCTATAGCCTCTAAATTTCAGAGCGGTTTGTTATGTAGCAATAGGTAACTGATACACCAGAAGAGTTCTTTAATAGAACAAGAGGCCAATCAACCTTTTATTAAAGAACTCAGTCCTACACACTCATGCACAGTGAACTTGAAGAAACATTTATAGAATTCTGAAACCAATCTCCTGTTTCTCCTAAGAAACTTGTAAGTACCTATAGTCTGTATGACTAGAAGAACACACTTGGGATCCTCCTCTGTGTCTTACACAGACCTGATCTTGTCATGGGGCCGCTTGTTTCGCTGCTTTCCACATTTGTTTAAGGGCCTGGGGAACATCCTGTACTCATTTACCAAGACAATGGCTGTTAACTTCTAGATCTCCAACTTATCTGCTGCATTTATTCAGAAACATGCAAATTAGAAGCTTACTTTATAGACTTATTTTTGAATGAAGAATATGTCATACTCATTCTTGCTTTATTAATTCATATATAAATATAACTACATTTTCTGAAGTTTCTATAATCTACACAAAGGCCTGCACACTGCTATTTGTAGCAACCTTTTTTGATAACTGACAAAACTTGTAACCAACCAAGATGTCCCTCAGTAGATGAATGGGTGAAAAACTGCTTCATTCAAGCACTAGCATAATTAGTGCCAAAAGTAAATGAGCTCCCACCCCATGAAAAGTGATAGAGGAAACTTAAAAGAATATTACTAAGTGAAATACATCAAACTGGAGAGTGTATTACCATATGACTCCAACTGTGTAGCATTCTGGAAAAGGAAAACTATGGAGATAGTAAAAAGAAAATTGTCCCCTGGACATGGGAATGAGTAGGAGGACCAGGAAAGAATTCTTATGGCAGTGAAACTATTTTGTGTGATACTATGATGGCGAATGCACATCATTAACACTTTTCCAGAACAAAAATGTATATCAAAGAGAACGCTGATACAAACTGGAGTTGGGGGATAATGGCATGTCAGTGTAGTTCAGTAAACATAACATGTATATTCCTTCAGCTGGGGCATGTTGGTAGTGGGGGAGGCTGTGTGTATGGGAGCAGGAACTATTTAGGCACTCTGCAGTGCCTGTTCTGTCTCTAGTGTCTGTTAACCTAAAAGTTCTCTAAAAATTTGAAGTCTGTTTTTAAAAAATATCACAAGTATTGATAGAACTAGATTTTCTCTCTTTTTGTGGAAGTATTTCAGAATTTTTGAAGTGTATTAATGTATGAAATGTGTATATCGGTGACAGGCTAGCATATGAAAAGGTTGTAACTTTATAAAATTGATGCACTTCTGAGCAATTTGATTCACTGTCAGTGCAATAATACTGGATTTTGTCTAAAGGGTAAGCAATTTCTCCTTTGAATCTGAATAATTTTCCCTAGAGGGGCATGGAAACTGAGGATGCATTTATAATCAGCTTTCAGTTCCCAATTATTAGAACTGCTATTTGATTAGAGCTCATTGCAAATCAATATAACATGAAGGGGGTCCATTTTAATGAGCCAAAGAGACTACTATAAGAAGAAAGAAAGATTTATAAAATAATTCCATAGTCTGAAGGGGCATTGGAGGTCATGTACTTATTGAATGCCTTCATTTTATGGACATGGGCATAGCAAGTCCTCCAAATTAGGCAACTTCCCCCCGATTACATAGGTAGTTAGTGACTGAACTAAACTTTTATTATATTATACCATCTTTCAGAAGTGCCAATTGTCCTGAATGTGTTATGGATGAAAAAGAACATAACAGAACAACTTTACCTGCATAATTTCAATAATTAATGATTGACTCAGACATTCCAGTACTGACCTTGAATGGGCTAAATTTTGAGGTCTCCAGTGAAATTTTCTCATGGGGAAAGGATTTATTTTAGCCTTCTGGATAATTCTTGCTCAGCATTGAAATCTCTGCTCAAGTATCACATTGTTTGGAAGGCTTCTGGGTGTCTCCAGGTGCTGTTGATCATAACCCTACCATACTTTGTGCTGCCCATCAGTTCCAGCTGTGATTCTGAACCAAGGAGTGATTTTACTTCCCATGGAACATTCAGCAATGCCTGGAAATATTTTTAGTTGTCATGACTTCAGGTTGCTAATGGTATCTGGGGGAAGAAGCCAGCAATACTCCTGAACATCTTGCAGTGCACAGGAACCCCCCACCCCCACCCCAACAAAGAATTTTCCATCCCAAAATATCAAGAGTGTTGATCACTAGAAACCTTGAATTACATCATTGTTTTAGATGTGTCAAAACCAGAGATGGTTCTGTCTGGGATAGACTTAGTTCTTTTAAATAAGAAATGAGATGGAAATTTCAAGGACATCAAGAGTTACAGATCAAAGAAGACATTTGACATTTGTTTTTTAGGGCTTGGCTAGCTTCACTTAGCATAATCTGCTCTAATGCCATCCATTTCCCTGCAAATTCTATGATTTTGTCGTTTCTTAGTGCTGCATAATACTCCATTGTGTATAGCTGCCACAATTTTTTTATCCACTCATCTATTGAAGGGCATCTAGGTTGGTTCCACAGTCTAGCTATTGTGAATTGTGCTGCTATAATCATTGATGTGGCCGTATCCGTATAGTGTGCTCTTTTAAGGTCCTCAGGGAATAGTCCAAGAAGGGCAATAGCTGGGTCAAATGGTGGATCCATTCCCAGCTTTCCCAGGAATCTCCATACTGCTTTCCAAATTGGCCTCACCATTTTGCAGTCCCACCAGCAGTGAACAAGTGTGCCCTTTTCCCCACATCCTCGCCAACACTTATTGTTGTTTGACTTCATAATGGCTGCCAATCTTACAGGAGTGAAATGGTATCTTAGGGTGGTTTTGATTTGCATTTCTCTGATTGCTAGAGATGTTGAGCATTTTCTCATGTGCTTGTGGATTGATTGTATGTCCTCCTCTGAGAAGTGTCTGTTCAGGTCCTTGGCCCATTTGTTGATTGGATTATTTGTTATCTTAGGAAGAGCATGAGGAAAAGACTAACAGTAAACTAAGACGAATGGGGGGAGAGAAAGGAAGAGAGAAGGGAAAACATATGGAAATGGTAGGAGACCTTCAGTGATACACAAAATAATAAGAGGTTATGAGGGGCAAGGGGGTGGGGGGAAAAAAAGGGGAGAGAATTGAACAACAGCAGAGGAGGTAGAGAGGGATGTTGGGAGGGGAGGGGAGGGGAGGGGGGATAGTAGGGGATAGGAAAGGTAGCAGAATACAACAGTCACTAATATGCCATTATGTAAAAATGTGAGTATGTAACAGAAGTGAGTCTGTATTATGTATTTGGGGAGTTCAAAACCCAATTGAGTCGAATGTATGAAAGATGATATGTCTTGAGCTCTGTAATGTTTTGAACAACCAATAAAAAAAAAAAATAAAAATAAAATAAAAATAAAAAAAAAGAGTTACAGATCAATTCAAATATTTTTTCACTGCTGATTTTTAAAACCCAAATTATATTCAGGAGTATTTAGATATGACTTATGCGATCACACCCATTTTGTTGGTGAGATGTCTTCTCTTTCTCATCCTCATAGTTCTTATGCTGGGCCCCCATTTTGTAAGGACTTCGCTCACTGTTTCAAGAAGAGGGAGTAGGTAGGGGACACTTCCATTCCTTTATCTTCCATCTGCCAAAGTTAAAATATTGGGCTCTCATTAGAGCAAACTAATATCTCACTGCTAGCAATTTCAGTACTGGGTGCTTCTCTCTCCTCTGATGGGTACTTTAAATCGGAAATTTTGTTTTACACATTTTTTTTCAATGTTTTCAATTTTTTTCTGGTCTCTGAGCAAGATGTACACAAGTGTTGGTAAGATATAGCTCAGGGAAAGAGCAGTCACAAAAGAATAATCACATTATTGTCTCAAAAGTAGGAAAAGACCATTTATCCATGGTGAAGTGTTTGGGGGCCAGAGGAGTGCAGGACAGGAAGGGCACCTGCCTATCCAGAGAAATTTAACAAAGACAAACTGAAGGAAAGCTTCCATGGCCTCAATTGTATTCATTTAATAATAGATCTTTTACCTCTCCCAGATGGTGACCCTCCTGAAATTCCCTGTCCAGTGTGTGATACTCCTTAGGCATACAACAATGCCCACTGTATCTATATGAAGAGGGGAAAATGATCACATATCACTTTACCTGATGATTATCCCCTTTTCCAAAATCATTGCAGGTAGTTAATTTTGCAAAGGCAGAGAAATTAACAGCATCATTGGCTTTTGGTCAAATAAAAGATCATTTTACTGTTAAACACAATGAAAATCTATTTTTGGTACAGATAATTTTACTTGACTATAACTGTCTAATTCTTGGGAAATGCTGACACTGTATGGAAGGATTAATTAAAATTGAGGAAACTGTTTCTTTCAAAAAATTAAATCAAGTTTTATCTTGTACAAGAAATTCCAGAGTTTTAAATGAATTCAGTATATAAAAACCAATGACACTGTGAAAGCAGTGAACACAGAATGAAATACGGAGAGAAACTTTATGTAAAGCTCCGAGCAATGACATCCATGGAAATTAACTCACAACTCCTAGAGAAAGATTCAGAGGATGTGTGATTCGCCCACTAGCATTATGGAGTGGGACGAAATGATTGCACTCTGTGAAAGGCTTGCTTATAGCCTTTGGCTTAGTGATAGGAAAAGAAAGAGATTGGCTTTCTTTTCTTGGAAGGAATACATAAAATAACAACATATGGTCTTTAAAATGAGTTTAGTGAATTAATTGATGTATTTTTTGGCTTTCATTCCCCCCCACACACACCCTCCTTTGAGAGTCATCTTGCAAATGTTTTACCTTGGAGAGTCTATCTATGGCAAGTTCTCTTGGTACGATATAGCAAAATGAAGAATTTCTTCTTTGATTTAATGGAATTATTTTTTTAAACTGTCTACAGGGGACAACACACACACAAATTTTTCAAAACTACCAGCAAAATGCCAATCCTGGAACTGAGAATAAATATATAATTTCTTATTACTTCAATAACAATCTAAGGTTTAGAGGATGAAAATTTTTGGAATTCCTTCTCACTTGTCCTCATTCATTTTTAAAAGGAAAACAGTGGATACACAGCATTTTTTTTCTGCAGATTAAATAATAGTTTTAATATCTCTATAAGCGTTTTGCTAGCTTTGATATTTCATTGATCAGTTGAAAGATTTGTCAAAGGAGGGAATTAAGTGAGGTTGATTTATCTTGGAAACTAAGGAGCCTATTATTTGCTCTTCTAATCAAACCCAATTATTATTCCATATCATTTTTATATGGAATAGGGTTAGATCTTAATTATCTATTAGAGAGTCATCCTTAGGAAGAAGATTTGATTTATTAATCAATAAATCAATTGATTAGTCAAAATGAACCTGGAACCTTATGTCAAGAGCAGCCCTGACCCTTCTGAAAGGAGGAGCCTCTTAGAACATTGAGTTAAACCCAATGTGTTTCCCACAGAGGACTGCTGAGCCCAATGCGGTTTTGGGTGTTAAGAAGTATGGCAAAGAGATGATCAAAAGCTTCTGATTTAAAAACCCAACTTTTGGTTAAGGTAATATAGAATGTGGCTCAAAATAGAATATCATCATATGGAGGCTGTTATGGTTTTGATCTGGACTGCCACCCAAAGACTCATGTGTTGAAGGCTTGGTCTGTAATCCAGAGGTGGACCATTCCATAAATGACTGGATCATGAGGCTTTGACCTCATCAACAGATTAAGCCATCGAGGGAATAATTTTTAATGAATTATCGGGAGGTAGGGGAAGTTGTAGGAGGTGCAACCTACTTGGGGGAAGCATGTCCTCAGGGGCTCTGCTCATGTTAAGATGAATGGGATTCAGAAAGAGCATCCCATAGAGGAACACATATGTGAAGAATAGAAATCAGAAGAAGGTTTGAAAAACAAGTAGAAGTTTGGTTCCACCAAAACAAAACAGTGTTTGAAAAAGTGTAAGAATACAAACTGAAAAGGAAGGTGATCAACATATTGTAAAGGACTTTTGAATGTTAAGATTAGGAGTATAGACTTAATTAGGATGGCAGCAGGGAACCACTGAGGGTTTTGAGCGGAGGAGCAATATGATTACAGCTGACAGCAGTCTTAATAAGACTTAATAAATAGTGCAGTTTACAACCTTAGGCTAACTGCTGAGCAGAAGAGAAGGCTGTGCTGCAGAATTAGCAAACCAATTACTGTGAGGGTGCCAGCCTGGATTTAGTCCCAGTTATCCTTTACAGTGGGATAGAAACTCCTAAAAATGTAAACAGATATCTGAAGTGACAGGTGACATGTCTCTTCAGAGCCAACTTTTCTTATTTGACTCCACAGTGACACACTGTTAAAATGTCTTAGCAGTGCCATAATTTGCTTTCCCCATTTTCAAAACCTCTCTTCTTTGTAAATATTCAGTGTATTTTTGTGACTTTTCTGTAGGCCTAAAATCTACTGCCATCTGTCCTATTACTTGTAATAATGTTTTGCCATCTTTTATTGGTATTAATGTGCTTTGCCAAAAGGGAAGACATCATTATGTTATCTGCAGTTTGATTTAACAGCTGATGTTGACTACAAGACAACATTCAAATTTCAGTTCCTTAGCCACCAGCACATTTTTTTTTTTTTGAGAGAGAGTTGGCTACATAAATATCTATTAAGCTCCTGTATACTTTGGTAATTTTAAGGAACCGTGTGTGTGCACGCACGTGTGCATATGTGCATGTGCCTGTGTGTAGGCATGCCCACAAGTTCAAGAGAGCAAGAGTGAGAGAGTGAAAGAGAATATGGATATATGTGTCTTTATCTTATTGCTTCCTTCTTGGGAACAGCTCCTGCAAGCAAAAAAACAAAAAAAATTACATAATTCTCTTATGAAACAAATCCTTTCAAATTCATTATAAAGATTATTTGTAATCTCACCCTTACTACTTCCACAGAGGTAGAAACATAGATATATTTGCCCCATTGTATGCATTCCATATTATTTTTAACTCTTGTAGGTTCATCTTGAACCTATTATATTATGCTAAGCCTTTTCCTTTTCTCCCCACTTAGACTACACAACTCTCAGAAGACTTGCTTACACATGGCAACTTGGCTTGTAGTGTACCTTCAAACCATTATTCCATGGAGTTGAAGTTTTCTTTTCCTTGAACTTTCTTGGTTGGGCTTTCATTCACTCAAAATGTTTTGAAGATCTCCTAAATATTGTGACAGGTAAACAGAACATAGCCCCCTTCTTTTTAAAAGTTTATGGACAAAGGGTTGGATAATTACAATACAGTCTATATGTGAGTGGTATAGGTACAGATTAGAGGCAGCCTTGCTGTTAGAGAATGGCTAAATAGAGGAGGGAGGTGACCCTTTATGTGAGTTGTAATACACTTAGAAAAGGCAAAGCATAAATATGAGAAAGCAAGAGAGAATTAAAACAGTATATATGTGGGCTAGAGATTAGAGAAAATGATGGAGTCAGATAATTTAGTATGACCCAGGTGAGTAATGGCAGAGCCAGAAGGTTTAACACACACACAAAATCAAAGGTAGCTCAGATTTCTATATTTTAATTAAAAGCTACAATTTAAAATTAAGGGGGTCCTAAATTCTTGATAAAAGGATCAATTATTGTGGCTATCCATTGGTGTTTCTTTGAAAGAATAAAAAGTTGTTTGGTTGAAAATGGACTTTTTATCTTGTCATTTTGGACTTTATAGGCACATTTAGAAGAAGACTTGTGGAATTAGGAGTCAGTTATTTATAGATGAAGGACAATAATAGTATCTATTTTAAAGTTATGAATTTTCAGTGTGACAATACACACAAAGTGATTATCCTAGTGCATGGAAAATATAAGAGCATCCTGTATTATTGGTGTTCATAATAGAGTGTTTGGTCTTGTGTTTGAGGGAAAGACCCAATGAAGCATACAACACATTTGGACTGCTAGGAACGCTTGAGTCTAGCCAGCACTTCCTTGAAAGCTAGTTCTTCTGGTCAAATATTTTTTAAGTAATGTTTACCACTTGGACCAAAGTGCTATTTATTTGGTCATTTCTTATCTCCAGATTTAAACCCAAAATATCACCTTTTGAAGATTTTACTTCATTGAGTGACTTGTTCTTTTGTAGGTGGTGATACTTGGAAAGGACCTTGACGCAGGAAACTTTCTCTTAACTTAGAATGTTAAATAACATTACAAAGAAACAAAATTGATACACAGAAGGAAGGGTAGTGTGGAAAGACATGAGTATTACACACCAAGTAGATTTCTGTGAGCCCAATGATTCTTTAGTCTCTTACACCTGTGTTCTGATCTGCCAATTTTTATGTAATAATAGTAAAACTATGTCATAAAACTGTTGGAGGATTCTACAATTATTTATATAAACTGCTTAACATGTAGGTTGACAAATATTAAATATTCCATTAGTGTTAGCTTTAGGAACTCCACTATAATTCAAATATAAAAGGATTATACAAATAAAACACACTGTGCAAATAAGAGAGAATGCGCAATTCTCAAAATTCTGGATTTATCACCCAGAAAAATAAGGTAAGATTTAATACAATATGTTATATGAAATCTTAATTTTCTGGAACTAATTATTTGTCACTTCAGACTGCAAGCCTGAAGAAATTGATTCATTTCATGCACAATC